TTTACGCAATGCAGCTTTATAGAATCTGTCTCTTATACACATCTCCAGATACGCCACTGCACTGCTTCCGGGAGATCTGGTTAAATGAGCTTTCTTCACGCATCTAATTCTATTTTACTGCACATCATGAAGCCCATCACCAGCTGACGTTAGAAAATACAATAGTACAACCAAGTAAATATAATGAATTTGCCAGTGATGGCTTTTTAGTTTCTGAGAGCTTTTGCTTCTTTGTGGGAGTGAGGAAGGCCACCTGGATTTCTGGTCTGAGTTGGGACACCTGTAATACTACAGAATCCCTTAAATTGAATACCAGCCAACTAAGGATCTATGCCAATAATATAGGAACCATATAATATATGCATGTTATAACAAAAACTATTTATATAAACAATAAATGATAACAATAATAGTAATTTATTTAAATTATTAATGAAAATATTAATGATATTAATACTGTAATATTGATAAATATAAGGTGGTGATAACAAAAACCTAAGCCAAAAACAATTATAATCACACCAGTTTGGCTGCTTATCTAAGCCTTAGTAGTTTACTTCATGCATTGATAACAGTTTAAATATTTAAATAGCACTTTTTAATATTACTCCTGTCTGTTGCATACAACAACCTTGTGCAACAATAAATGTACAAATAACAAATGTACATTTGAACAAAATCTGAATTATACAAAATAAGATGAACAATGTGATACAACTGAAAATAAAATACAATGTTAAATTAGAAAGGAATAAGGAAAAAGAGTGATGCACCTGAAAATAGAGTATATTTTACCTACTGTAATACTAATCATATATTTTCATTAATGTATTCATAATAATAATAAAAGTAATAAAAAAAATAAAGTAAAATAATAATATTAATAAATAACAAAATAAAGTAAAACAATAAAATAATAATAAAAGTAATAATAAATAATAAAAAATAAGTAATATAACATATAAAATATAAAAGCTGATTGAATTATAAGAATAAACAAATTAATTTAAAACAGCCAGAAAATAAGAAATATGACAAAACCCCAAAAGAATGCTCCACCTAGTATATAATGTGATAAAAAATAAATATAAAAAGCAAGAACTAAAAAAATGAGGGTCATAATATAATAAAATCATAATTATAATACTAACATTTTGCATAGACAATTTGGAATAACACTCAAAATGAATTTTAGTAAGTCACTAATTTAATTCTAATATTATTTCTGTATCACCAATTACTTAAAATTAAAAAAGTGTATGGTCCTCCAGCCAAAATAACAAAGTTGCAACAAAGTTGCTGCGAGGGGCAATGTGATTGGTCAGTAATAAATTTTAATTGGATTTACTTTTTTGAAATTGGAATGCATGTTCCTAGTGTGCGGTGTACATACCGTTCACAAATTTGACATATATTGCGTAAGCTAACGAATACGTTCGTCCTACGCGAATGCCTGCTGACGGCAACACCAGTCCGCTAATCTTTTTTGGCAGTTTGAGCAACCTTTTACGCGATGCAGCTTTATAGAATAATGTCGGTTGCCAACATTGATGCAGTGTTCACCACGCTTAATAAAAAAACTGCATACAACTGAAAATACTGTATGCAAAATTAATTTTTTTTCTTTCATGTTAAGGACATTTTTTGTCATAGAATGCAGTACAAATCATATGCAAATAAATTTGGTAATGCCAAACCACTCCAATACAGAAATAAAAAGATGTTAAAATAAATTTACCCAACCTCTTACCCGTTACTCTACAAACCCAGTTGAGTCGCTGTTGAAATGTACCTGGGATATTCTCTTTATGACATTTTTCCTGGTATAGTACATCATGCCCCAAGTATCGAAATGCACACCATCGTGTCGGGATTCAATATTTCGACATTAATTATGTCATCATCAGGATGCATTTCGATACTTGGAGTATGTATTATACTATCTTATCTGAGATTAATCAGTGGACCTTTCGGTACATCATGCCATTATTTCAAAACTTACATATTCTAGTGAAAAGCACTTTTATTATAAATTTGATATACAGTCAATAAAATACTTATTTGAATATGTTGTTCTCAAAATTAATTGAAAATAATTATATTTAAAAGACTGTACGTTCGGACAAGAGAAATCATTTAACAAAAGGAAGAAAAACCACAAAAGGTTGTTGGGATGGGAGGTAAATGGAAAGGGATGTAGAGGATTCCCAATGGAAGAATTTTAGAGCTTGGAATAAACCAGCAACACTGGCCTACAATTTACACTGATAATCTTTTGGTTTTGATGTAGTTTAATTAGTTTTTATGTGCATTGGTGTACTGCATGTTAGAGGTTGTGTGCTATAGCTATCTTAGATCCCCCGAGGCCCACCCTATATACTGTAAATAAGTCATCGTGGACCAATGTGTTATACTTTACTTTTCTTCAATATTTTTTGGCCTTCCTTAATGCTGCATTCACATCGGACTGGAACCGCGTTTCCGATGCACTGAATGCCAGCGTCTCTATTCTTACACGCTGATTGAACTTTCTGGTCGGTTCGGTGGTTTGGTGTGAATGAAGCTGGAGTAGTGTCCCTTCTCTACATTCCTTTAGAGTAATACACATAGCTATGTGTAGCTTGGTAGTTTAAGAAGCACAGTGATATTCTCACAACCCTTCCCTATAGATTTGTTTCCATACAATTGCTACATGCTATCCCCGATAGCTTTTGGTGATGCTGATTGGTCTGTCGATTGAATCAGGGAATCTTCCAAATTGGGTCGGGGGAATGCTACACATGATTGCACTGTAAAAAACATTGTAGCGGCAGTGTAGCTATTTTAAGAAAACAAGGCTATTACTGTGTAGTGACAGTGTAGCGATTGTATGGAAACCAAGCTTATGCTATGTAGCGATTTTATGTAAACGAAGCTTAACCGACTCCTTATAAAGAGACTTAAGTTCTACTGGATGAATCACCCTCTGTTAAGATGGCATTAAAATCTTAGTTGTCTGGTTGCCTCCTCCTGATTGGTTCTCCATCTCTGGTACCAATTGCAACATCTTCCAGATGATACTGGACTTGTTTGGCAGTAGTTAATATTTCAAGTTACTGATTGTATAATGCATGTATTTACAGCTTTTGCCTTTCACTACATGATGAAAACCTTTTCCAATTGGTCAATGTCATAGACTTCTTTCGTACGTGGACAAATGATCCTTCCACCACATTCAGCAGCCATGGCAAGCAAAGACTAAATGAAAAAAAGTTGAATACAATGAAAAATTATTTTGTTTCATTTATCTTAATACAGAGTGAAAATGAATAGCATAGTGGTAAAGAGGCTTGCCTTTTAATCACAGTCTCTTAGGCATAAAACTTTTCACAGCAGGGTTTATCCCCATGACTGAGGCTACAGTCACACTAGCTTGGTTTACTCAGTACAGATGAGACCTCATAAGTGTTCAGTGTCCACACTTAGCTGGGTTGACCTAAATCAGATACAGTAGTAGAAAACCTTGAGCCTAAACATTGTACCGCCAACTGTGATTGGTCACATTTTGGTCACAGGCTTCTGTGAGACAGTAGAATGGTAAATTATAGGTCAACCCAGGGTCAACTTGGCTACCTTGCCTGGGTTGAACATTCTAGGCAAGAGGCTACCTTGCCTGGGTTGAGCTGTCTGGGTTGAGAGCAATTTCAAGCCAGACTTGAGTCAATCCAGGTTGGTTCAGACTACAAATTTCTCAACCGTACAGAGTAAACCTAGCTAGTGTGACCGTAGCCTGAAACAGCTCCACCTCCTAATAATTATACATACACCAATCGCTTCCAATTTTACTTAAAGCAGTAGTAGTATATTTCAGATAACATTGTGAATATTAATGTTTATTTTACATGTCACTCACAGTTGACGCAAACATTTATAATTTTTTTAGCTTTTCACAATATTTTGATAGTAGGTAAAAATGAGCATAAAATAAAATTTTATCAGTTGATATCTGGTGGTACCGTACTGTACTTACAATTTCACCATAAACATGACCATTTGGTAACATCATCGGGACATTGTTCTCATTCATCATTTGACCTTTGACACAAATAAAATCAAATTAATTTTAAACAGTTTTCATTTGATCAGTGAAATATTGATAGTCCTGCACCAGAAAGTAAAAAGTGCAAGCAAACTTGGATTTGATATCCAAACATCAAAATAGAGATCACCTTGACTTTATTTAATCACATCATCATAACAACCATGTTTATCATTTTTTATCCCTTACAGAAACATCATCACCACCTTTATTATGACAAGCATCATTATCTTTTCATAATCGTAATCGTTCTTATCATCATCACCACCTCATAATAACTGACATCACTGTTCTTTTTCATCATAATAATCATGACCATAACTATTGCCATCATCCTCATCACCACAGTAAGTTGAATGACTTTCCAAAATTGGCATTAACACAATATTAATCTGAGCTTCTCTTATCAGGGTGACACCTAATACGTGAGCAATTGCTACTAATTCCAAATGCACAATCTATTATTAAACACAAATCAAATCTTATAATTCATTTTACATTTACACATATTTCATTCTTCAGATTATAAATGACTCATATGAAAGAAAAAACAATCAGTTTAATACTTAATGTACAACTTCAACCATTAGACGGAAAATTCTGCATATAATGCTTACCAGATATGCTGCATATAAGACGCGACTGTGCTGCGTGAGAATACGGCAGAGACCGAGCTAGTTGATTCAAATTTTTACTACACACGGGGCAGTCCGGGTTTTTGCTGCTGCTATGGTAACACTGACTGGAAATAAGTCGTCAAGGAAGATGTAGTTTACAACAGACATATTAAAGAGCGATCAGTGGGTGGAATGATAAGGCGCCGTTCGTCCCGTATGGTACCTTGTGTTCCCTCTTATGACTTCAAACAACACTTCATGGTTGTTGGAAACAATTTCAAAGAGTATTACCTTCACTCCCACTAGGCCAGTTACAGTCCTAACGTGGCATAGTTGGCGTAAACACTTCACAAGCGGGAAGTTATAAATAACAAATGCGGGTAAATCTAATAAATTGTTGTTTTGATTGTCATCTTAATTGATTTAACAATTCTGGCATTTCAATAAGTAACTACACAACTCTTTTCTATTATGAGAGAATGTAATAGAAAAAATAGAATATACTAAAAATTGGCTCAACTTTGCCAGACGAGTGGAAAATATAAAGAAAAAGAATAAGGACTACACAATAAGAATAAAATAACAGTATCTAAATCAATATCTGTCTCTTATACACATCTAGATGTGTATAAGAGACAGACATTCAGCAGCCATGGCAAGCAAAGTTGATTCAAATTTTTACTACACACGGGGCAGTCCGGGTTTTTGCTGCTGCTATGGTAACACTGACTGGAAATAAGTCGTCAAGGAAGATGTAGTTTACAACAGACATATTAAAGAGCGATCAGTGGGTGGAATGATAAGGCGCCGTTCGTCCCGTATGGTACCTTGTGTTCCCTCTTATGACTTCAAACAACACTTCATGGTTGTTGGAAACAATTTCAAAGAGTATTACCTTCACTCCCACTAGGCCAGTTACAGTCCTAACGTGGCATAGTTGGCGTAAACACTTCACAAGCGGGAAGTTATAAATAACAAATGCGGGTAAATCTAATAAAATATATATATAATTCAAATTTTGTCATCATCCTAATAGTTTTGTTGTTTTGATTGTCATCTTAATTGATTTAATAATTCTGGCATTTCAATAAGTAACCACATAATTCTTTTCTATTATGTGAGAATGTAATAGAAAAAATAGAATATACTAAAAATTGGCTCAACTTTGCCAGACGAGTGGAAAATATAAAGAAAAAGAATAAGGACTACACAATAAGAATAAAATAACAGTATCTAAACCAATATTAGGAGACTAAACATTATTAAAAAAAACATTAAAAAAATCTAATTCCATATAAAATAATTTATCTATAGAAAATTATTAAAATTATAGAAATAAAACTACCAACAAAATAGTCAAAAGGGAGATAAAAAAAAAAAAAAAATCTGTAAAAATCTAAATAAAAATCATGTACATACTTAATATAAAATGACATGTTTTTACCATAACATTCTGTTTTTCCTCTAAATATTTACAGACACCTAACATGTATGTGTCACTATTAGGATTAACCAACTTGATGTTTCAATCGTGAAATTTGCATTGAAATGCGGAACGATAACTCCCGAGAGGAGAAACTTTCAATCTATTCTTGATAAGAAAATTAATTTTTAAATGTCCTTGGTGGGAATGAAATGGATAGGGGAAGTGTTTCAATTTATTTTACTAAAAAAAGATAAAAATAATGACATCAAATTAACTTTGTCTGCATGAATCTTTGATTGACTGAAAGAAAGGTATAATTTCTTCATTACAGTATTTATTTTTTTTACCAATTTTAATTCATCTGAAAACATTCTGCTAAGATACACAATGACAGCATACCTTTACATACAAACAGGGACAAACATTTTCTGTAAAATAAGTGGCATTTGGTTTTCATTATAATGAGTGTCATTAGTGACAATTAAATGGGGAATAGAGAGCGCGCACTGTGGCATGGTTATGCTGTGGCAGTGTTAATTGCACAGGGAAAAATCACGGAATGCAATGGGAATAGAAGTGTTACACAGGGAAAGTGGGTCAACAGATTGACCTCCTATTAATCTAAATGTTTAGATTTCCTAATTGGTCACTTTATTGAAACCATACTTAACTACTGAGTGATTGAAGTTTTATTAATTTTGTTTTTCATTAAGAAGTTAATTGATAATCATAGTGGCTGATTGAGTATTTTATTGATTGATGTGCAAGCTGTTAAACTTAAGTTCCTTTGGCTCAACAAATTTCTTTGTTTTTGCTTCAATTTTTCCCTTGAATCCAATTTGTATTTAACAAACGTTTTTAACCGACAGTTCAATAATTCTGTTTATTCAACTATAATTATGCCCAATACCCCAAATTCTGAACTTGTTAAGAATGCTGATACATATGCCTATATATGCCTGTCTCATTTTTGCATCTCAGAGAATTCCGTCAGTTTATGTGTATATTCGAAAAAGTGTACATAGTTTTATGCTTAAGGTAGAACATATGCAAAATTACCTTGTGAGGTGTATTGTTAAGCACACACTAAGATATTCTAATCTGTTTGCCAAGCGGCAATGGTTACTTAAGTAAATGTTGTGATGTGTGTTCCTCATATCATGATGATTGCATACAATTGTTCTTTACTTGAAATTTGTTTATATTTTATGGATTTGATTCTGAAATAAAGTCAATCAATCAATCAATAAATCAATCAATCCATCGATCAATATAAATGAAATGGACTTGTAATGCAGACATGCAGCAGTTCTTTATTACAGGGTCCCTCAAACATCAAAAAATGAAAATGAGTGAACATGACAACCAGGTATATTCTATCCTCATATTTTAAACTGATTTTAAGCTTAAGTGTGTAATTGGGGATGGTGCACACTCAAATATAAAACCATAACTTTTAGTAATCATGACGACAAGGCATATTCTATCCCTATAATTTAAATTGACTTCAAGCTTCTATGATGCCTGTAAGGGGACTGGGTACGTGTGGGATATAACAGGAACTTTAAATGCAAATATTGTTTGGCCAAGTTTTTCCCAATTGTTTTCAGATCCTACTTTTTTGTATCACATGCAAGACATAATGACATTCAATGAGACATGCTCACTTTTATTTTCCTGAGGCAATATTTAGAAATTCATAAAGATTAATGAAATAAAGAATTGTTGACTAATGGGTTGTACTAGGATGGGCTAGACTCCATCTGTGGAAGAGGCCTGTGCCAGATCTGGAAGGGCTTGACATGAATGAACCAGAGGGTAATACCCTATTCACACTACACTCTGTTGTGATCGGTTGCGGTGTAGTCGGTGGTAATCCAAAGCTGATTACTCCCGATCGCAATCAACGAGCGCATTCATTCTAATCCCTTTCTATTATGCAATACTCATTCTACATAAAACACATTACATATTTTGGGGGTAATTAGCTTGCTGTCTTCATGTATAGGTGCTTCAAAAAGGTTGGCTAAACTACTTTAATATGAGCTAATATATGGTAATGCATATTTCAGTTAGGGTGGAGTATGCAGGTCATTAGGACCTCAGTGGAGTAACATCCCTACCCAGTAATGCATAGTTTGGTTAGGGTGGGGTATGCAGGTCATTTCGACCTTAGGAAAGTGACGTCCCTACCCCTGAATGTATAGTTTTTGTAACTGATTTTTCTTTTTGTCATTTGTTATTGTGTTGCTTGCTATGGATATTCTATTCCTAAAATAAAAGTTGAATTGAATTGTATTTGCCATTCCTTACAGCAGTAAATTACTTTAAATATAAACCTATATATACTGTACTATGGTGAAAAAGATTACAACTTAAAATACCAATGTTTCCTCCTCCTTATACTACTGTATTCTACTTCACATACTGTACACACTACAGTACTTCCTTTGTCATTGCACGTTATCCCCACCTCCAACTAAACACTGGCATTTAATGCAACACACAGTTGCAAATTGTGTTTTATGAACAGACGCAGGCAAAAATTGATAGCGCAAATAGCACGTCCTGAAAGTGAATTTAAATTTTTAAATTAAATTTTACTGACGGATTACACAGAAGTAAGCGTCTCGTGGGAGAGATAGGCTTCTGAGATACGTGATCCAAACTTCAGGACACCCTGGCATTCCCCTTCCTCATTTGGCCCTGTGGCACAAAGCGTTTCAAAGCCAAGCCAAATATAGAGATACGACTGCAAAAATGCTGATCTCAGAACGAGTGGCGCCACTTCAAACACCAGAAGGAAGTCGTAACTGCGTTGGTCTTGTGTAGTCCAATTAACAAGCAGCAAACTTGCAAATTAACTGGGTCAACTTCTATGGTTCTAGATATTTTTTTTCTGGGTTTATAGTTAGTAAGTGCTATATACAACTAAGAGTTCCGTTACAGTAATAAACAAAATGCATCTGGTTACAAAACAGGATGGTGGTTGTTTAGGACCTGTTATGCTGAGCAATAAAATGGTGGTTGGGACATTACGATCCAAACGGTTCATTTCAGAACCAAACACCATCAATCGAGATTTGTAGTATATATGCCACATGTTGTACCGAAAACTTATAATTAATTATTAATGTCAATTTGCCATCACAACTTATTAATTTGGAGGTCACTATTAATAATTTGGTATTAACACAATAACCTAAAAAACAGAGATGAAACTTGGATGTAATATCTTAAATCTTTTTTGTAACATACAATTTGAAAATTTACAATAAAACACTGCTTGCTCTTCTGCCCTGTTGACACCAACTTCGGGTTGAGATCTATACACTGAGTCGAAGAGCTACGAGTGGTGAAAGGGGAGGGCGGAGAGGGTGAAGTGTGGAGAGGGGAATGGTGATGGCATATCACATTGGCTGATACCAGGGCTGTGCTACATAGTAGCTCCCTGCTGATACTAACAAAAAATTATGTAAATTTTAGTTTTATAAATATCTTTTGAAAAGAGTGATAGCTTTGATTACTGTAAACATGGTACCAGATTTAATTTTCAAGGTGAAATTAGAGTAAGCTATTTTGAGATGTGAAATTAGGTTTTATAAACATCAATTGCGATCAATCATAATGAAATAAAAACAACATATTTTGACATGAACATACTCTTATGCCTGTACTGACAGATCCATGTTATACTTTGACCTTTAACATACATTTTATCCTGTTCTAACATCAGAAGCTTAGGGGTGCCGTGTTCTTAACTCAATCCGTTTCCTCTCTAAGCATTATCTAATTTGCCTCGCCAACAAATTGGTCCTCGATGCAAATTTTAAGAATTACATGCGAGACAAGTCAATCTGTCGTCTGGAATTTCTTATGAATTTTAAAATGTTAACAACAAAGTGTCTAAAAAAAATATCTTGTGAAAACAATGAGAAAACAGTATTTTCAATCAATATAGTAAAAAAGATTAATTTTATCATTATATTAAAGGTTAATTCTGAAATGTGAGGAAAATTTAACAATATATTTATTATAATTTTATGTTATATATCTATCTGTATAACAGTAACAATAAATTATGGAAAGAGCAGTTCGTGAGTGTAATTATTAATTTCGCACTAAATTTTCTATACATATTATCTGAGGTATATACACAAAATTACGTTTTATCTAGAAAAATGCCTGCAAACAAAATTATTGAAATACGTAGTTAATAAATAAAAATACTTATTTTTAGAATACAATAATTTGCATTTCATTTTAGCACATGTTGCAAGCTAATAAATAAAAGAACACGTCTTCAATTTAATGTAATACTCTCTATAAAAGAACAATTTACAACTTTTCTTTCACAACTTCCAAGTAATCACCTGTTCTGTAGGTAAATGTGAAATAAAAAACCAGGAATATTCCATACAGAAATATGTGAAGAGAAAATAAACACCTATGGTTTTATGAATTATTTATGTGAAAAGTTTACCAACCAATCAACACTCAGAATCATAAAACTAACAATTTGGATAAGTTCTAACAGCCAACCAGCTGCTGGGATTCATTTTAAAAAGCTAAGTTGGTAGATCGCAGTTATACTGCCCTCAAACTTACCCTCAACCTTGAGGAAAAGCAGGACAAAATGGAAGCTTATCGATAAGGGCTTGCTTCCCACATTGTCGCGACACATCGTTATCTTCAGCTGACACTGTGTCAGAAGACTGATCATATAAGTAATAAGCAGTAATAGGTAGACACAAGGGGATCTTCACAGTAAGTCTGAATAAGCAGAATTTGAAGTAAAATGGTCACTAAAACGCATGTTTTGTTGCATAAATCTGGCAGAACACATCAAAACCACTGCACTGGTTTTCACCGCTCTTGCTCAAACCGTTGGACTACTAAATATACAATTCTTCCCCCCATTATTCTGCTGTCCTATTAATTACAAATGACAAGCTATAGAATTCAGATGGAGTGAGTTTAGAAAAAAAACACTTCAAACTAAAGTGAAAGATAACTAATGCCAGTGGTATAAAATACACTGAAGGACTTTAGGGAAAATTAATTAAGAACTAAAAATTTATATTAAATCATGAAAATTATTAATAACACTTATAAATTAATTTTCATATGAAAGCAGTATTGTTGCTACTTTATATGTTTGAAATATCTTTTTTCCTTTGAATACTTAAAATTAAAAAAAATAAAGTTAAAATATTGTTGAATAAATACTTAAAGACATACCTGAATAAATCTTTTTGCATGTACTTGATAAAATAAATTATGTGGAAAAATTAAGAATTAAAAATAAATCATGAAAATTATTAATAAAATTGATAAAATAATTCATGTTTTTTTTTTGTTGTTACTTCATATTTTTAAAATATCTTTTTCTTTTGAAATACCTAAAATAACAAAACAAAATGTTTAAACATTGTTGAACAAATACATTTGACATGACTGATGTAATTGACTTTCTTTTCATTTACTTGCGAATTTGGTTAAATTAATTATGTGTGTCATGTTCCCATAAAACCTGAAACCCGGATATAATCACAATTTGACCTTTCAAGAAAAACAATAATTTAGTTGTCAGGCTTACTAATTTTTGACTTTTGAGATTTTTTTCACTATTAAAAATTAATCCTATCATCTGAAAAAAATTTAAAAACTAGTTCTGTTTCATTAATAATCAATATTTCAATAAAATTACTTGTGAGGCAGATGAGTTCTGAAGGCCTATAATTCTATTGTTTATTACCAGTTTGGTTGATGGTAGCTACAGTTTTTCAAACCATTAAGAAGTATTTTTAAGTTTCTCCTTAGTGACAAAAAATTGAACCCTATATTTTGATTTTGTCAAGGTCAGGCAATCTAAAATGTTTTTTTTTTTTTTTTTGCATTATTAGTAAAGATTTTAAAATCGTTTTCCTTGTCTCTCAACTTTTTGGACCCCGCTAATTGTACGATCTAGAACTTGTCTTCCCCTTTTGTATTTCTCCTTTTTTTCTGATGAATTTATATCATGTTGCATGTACTTTAAAATAACCTGCATTGCATCACCACTTTTTGAATTTGTTAAATTTGTCAATAATTAATCAATCAATCAATCAACACCTTCCACATCATCATCATGTTTCACTGACAGCCTATAACTAAACAACATGTAGTTGTCCAAATGAAATTAAGTTATACAAATAAAAACAATATCCTAACAAAATATTAAATCAAGTATCTCCACCCCCTATAACCTCTGTCTTTACTAACACCTGTGACTCCTGTAATAACATTAATGTGGAAAGGGGAGAGAAGATAATATATACAAACGCATACTATTTCAGACACCTGTTGATTATAGACAGTGAACAGTTGTCTTAAAACCGGCAAACTAAATTTTTAATTATCTTGAGATCACAACGGACGATTGAAATTACAAACAAGATAAAGAAATCAAATAAAGAAATTTAACTCATGTTAAAAATAACATGCTGACTCTCTCATCATCGCAACATAACATCTGACACATTGGAGCAAAGAGGCATCGACCCTGTTAGAAGTCCCAAGACCACATTAAAGCAAATTATTAAATAAAATAAATTGGTCAAAATCATCGACAAACACAGACACAGGGATAATCATACATGGACACACACCCCACCAAGCACAGAAGAATGGAACTGCAGTCACTCATAATGCTATAAACATAGGGGGTAGCAGAAATACTTGTAAGAGCTAAATGCAATTACTGATCAAATAAGAATATCCTCAGAAGATATCAAATCAAACATCTCCGCCCCCTCATTAATTATGTCATTATCAACGATGAGTGGTGATTTTAAGTGAAAACAAATCTGTAACTACATCTAATAATGTTATTACTACAACATTTAATAATGTTTGTAATCTAACTGCTGATTTTTTTCTTTTAAAGCCAGGCACCAGAGAAAAAAAATTTTTTTTGATATGTTGTACACCTGATGTTGCTAAGACACAAAAGGGTTTTTGATGAAAAATTTGGGAACGGTTAATGAGATATAGATATTTGAATATTTAAAAACTGCGGGGAAAAATGGAAAAAATGATGGTTACACCCTTCCCCCCCAGTTTTTAAATATTCAAACAGCTGTATCTCATTAATCATTCCTGAACTTTTCTTAAAACACCCTTTTTCTTGGAAAAAACAGTTGTACAGCATATTAAAAAAAATCGTTTCCTCCGGAACCTGGCTTTAAGATGGCCATGCATGAACTGATAACTAGGCTTAGGTACAAGGGTTACCCCCTATAAACATTTTTCAAATAATAAAAAAAGCATGCCAAATAATATCTCAAACTAGAAGGGCTTTAGAATAACAGGAAAGGTAAATCATATAATATTTTCATCAAATTTTTGGGGGGTTTTCCCAATTTTTTTCAGAGACATCCATCACCCTTAATCATGGGTAACATATAATTAACCAATATAGGATACGGTGTCTTCATAGCAGACAGTCCAGCTTCCAAAGTGACTGTAAAGACAGACAGGTTGTTAAGTTGGTGAAGCTTGTAATTCTCTTCTCGGAATTGCTCAACGAGAACTTGCCACCGCTGAATGTCCAACAGCTCCTGCGGGAATTCAAGGGGTGAGAATCAAACTTCCGTTAATTTCTTTTCATTTAATTCAATAATTTTATACCTACATTTATGCAGAGAAATCCTTTTTTTTTTTTTTTAATATGCCTAAGGCAAGTGAAAAGGTTAAAGATAAGAGTAAGAACCAAGACTTTTTTTTTTTTAATAAACCTTTGGTTTGCAACTTGAGATGACAAACCATTCCGAGACATTTAATATTTACCATTGATCGTACTTGCTCTATGTGGAATATTTACTGACGCACTGACACCTGACAAGTGTTAAATAATTTTATTTCATAATTTTATATTTTAAAGGGCTAAGGTTTAGGGTGGTTTGGTTTTGGTTCCATGGCAGTGAATATTATGTTATAAATTATATTAAAAGAAATACTGTAAATTTGGTAAAATAATTATACAATTTATGCTGGGGATGAAATGATCAGGTTTTTTATGTACTATATTAATATACAATATTTAAATGTATTAATGTTAATTATTATTAAAGTTAGAACTGCACATGCCCTGTACGGTTTAAGGATATTACAAAAGAACACCAAAAAAACATAAAAAAATATACATTTCTACTTTTCCCATTCCTGCACATAGAGACCATATATTATGTGCTTTATAAATACCCAACCATTAACTACTTGCAGTACAGAGGGGAAAACTTAGCCTGTTTGATCAGGGGTTATTGAAATATGAAATTTACAGACAAATTTCCTTCTTTCTGCTGGCTAATGATAATCATCACATTGAAATGTGTAATGCTTGAAATACACACATGTATGCAAATCAAAGAGACACAAAATGCCACGCATTCCAATCATCGTCAGGTTAATTATCAATCTACGATGATTAGTAATTGATTTAATGTTTTTATTTGAATCTGGCTTTATTATAAGGATTTTTATTGTTTAAAAATCAGATCTTCTTAACCTATAAATTTATGTGATGCATTAATTTTAGACTTTTTTTGCTTCTTACAGATTGAAATGTGTAATTCTTAAAATACACACATGTATGCAAATCAAAGAGACACAAAATTCCACGCATTCTAATCATCGTCAGGTTAATTATCAATCTATGATGATTATTAATAGATTTAACGTTTTTATTTGAATTTGGATTTATTATAAGGATTTGTATCATTGTTTAAAAATTAGATCTTCTTAACCTATAAATTTACGTGATGCATATATTTTAGACTTTTTTTGCTTCTTACATGGTTTTTTTTTTATATACCAGAAAACAAACATAAATTATAAACAGTTGTACAATAACAGCTACAAAAATTCTAACACAAGTTGTCATAAATGGATTAACAGATGTGTTAAAATGTGTCAAATTCAAGCAATACCTGTCTAAATTATTATTGTTTTCCTTTGGAGCAGAGAAGGATGGTAATGACCATGATAATTTTGAAAACCCAAATTAATTCCTTGCCAAATATATTAATTGTACATTGCACAGACAACGCATTTTGTAGGTCAGTTATTAACACTGTGCTGTACATAACATGTTCAAAAACATTCTGACCAATCAAACTCATTCACATAGTACATTCAATCAAATTCCTCAACCAATCAAAATTCAACTATACTTTCTTTTTAACCAATCAAATTGTCTGTATTATAAATCATTATTTTCCTCAAGAAAACATCTACAGTACATTTTTTTTGTTCATTTATTTTAACAATGTTTTATTGCTTGGGATTTATAAAAGAAATAGATAATTAAAATAATTCAACATACATGCCATGATGATGCAATGCATAATAATTTCTAGATTTTACCATGGTAACAATAATTTCCCATACCATATGGCATTAAAAAGCCTCATTCCATAACTTGCCCATGACATTTCCCATTAAACAACATTTTAACAATACCATCTCCAAAGGATTTACATACTGATAATTTTCACAATAATTTTCAATTTATTATATAAAATTTTAATTAATATTTATTTATATTAGGAATTGATTAATAAAATATACCAAAATATGGCTCATTATACTTTGTATTTATATAGTGCACATGTTATTATATGTATGTTAACGGATTTCTTTTCATTACTCCACAGAAAATAGTTCAGAGTAAGCAGGTGCTTGAGGGCAGTGTAGGTACAGTTTAAGGATCAACAACAAGTAACTGACTCCTATATTATTTTCTTTCTGAATGGCAAGATATATTAATCCACACTATTCATTCTACTATTTAATTCTATTACTGGCTAATTTAAAGGCCTATACATAGAATATTCAAAAGGAATTATTTATGCACATGTTAATTACTATGAAAAATATTTTGTTATTTTAATTTTCAGCTAATAACTTACAAAATATATAATTCAAATTCTGAAATTTATTTTAGTTTATTAGCAAAAAACAGGCGGTGTAAATGATCTCATAGCGTGATGACATTGGGGAGCTCAGCGACAAAGACTGGAAGCAGAGAGCGCAATTACAACATATTCAATTATGCAAACATACTTGTAGACCCATAATCTGATGCCCTTTCTTATACAAGTTTGAACTGCTTATAAAAAATATCAAATGATTATGTTTAATAGCTACCTGTTCAACATTATATGACAAGCTTCATTACAATATGTCATACAATCACACATACTTCATAAAAATGACAAGATAGTAACATTATTTTGATTTAATTCGTCTCAATTGTTTCTATGGTCAACGCAAACACGTTAGGAAACGAAATCAACGAAGTAGACTATTAAAATGACACGCAACATTCACCAGCGTTTTCCAAACTGAAAGGAATCTTTTCGAGTGAAAGACAAATTTAGTCATAAGAGACAAGACAAACTGCTAGGGAAATGTTGTTTTAATTCGGATAATTCCTATTTGGTTGTCTTTTCAACGTATTCGGAACGATGATATTGGATTTGTTGACGACAAGTATACTCAAGAGTGATATAGGATAATTGCGCGGCATGTTGGTGAATGTAACGTGGCGTTGGCGTTGACATAAACACCTGTGAGGTCCATCCTCTAACCCAGACACCAGACTCCCACTTTCCGCAATTCAGCGTTATCAATGAGTTGCGGCGTTTCGCAAGCTGTTTGATTCTTTGTGTTGGGAGAGTAACAATTTCTAGAAATAAAACATGTTTTGGCTTGGTCTACCATAGCATTAACTATGCTACTGTACACAAAATATCTGAAAAACCCGATCAATATTTGACTCCCAATACTGCAAACTTTAGAAGGGCCTTGTAATAATAAACTATATAAGTGTTTATTAGAATCAAATTTCAAAAAGGAATTACTAATTTTTATCTTTTGTTGTTTTCCATTTGCAAAATACAAAGAAGAAAATCTCCCTCCTATTAGTTTTTACTGTAGGCGATATATATTTTTAAACATCATATACTGAATGTTTATGTTATGATTTGATGACAACGATGATTCATGGCGCTAGAGGTATCTCCAGCCGTCAGACAGGCGGTAATATTACTATTTACAGTATCTTTTTAAACGATATCAACTTTTGTATAATCCAATAAAATAGTTGTATTGCGAACATTATAACTGTTTGACTCAAATATTTAAAAATAACATAATCACAAATTCGCTTTTCTTTCTTACTTTATGTTTCATTTTTAAAATTAATTTATGCATTGTTTCCTATTTCTATTATTAAAGATCACCTTGCAATCATAGGTGCAATAAAACAAGATTATCTCATTTAATCAAGTACGATAATGTGTTTAGGGGTTGTTCACAATTACCAATATTTTCACAAGTGCACAAACAGTATGCAGGGGGGGGGGGAGGGTAGACAACTTTGTACACTATACATAGGCATGAAAATGCCAAACGCTGGAACTGACAATGGTTGCTTTGCTTAGCTCTTTAGCAAGGGGCGTCTGGCCTCTTTGTTGAGTCACTTTTCTTGTGTCTTTTTGGAGTGTGTAAGATATATCATAGAACACATATGAACAAACATTATTACCCTATATATAAAGTAAATTGGAGAGCTGTATTTTGGAAAATAATAGTAAACAATGATATTTACTTAAACTATACAATTAACTGAATGCCAATTATGTGTAATGATTTCAAATCTTATTGTGCAAGAAACGTAATAATACAGCCAATTTACATTAATGCTTCATGTTAGCCTTTAGGTTCACATACTATGATAAAACAGGACTCGATATAAATACATAAATACAAAACAAATTAAAATTTAAAACATTAAGTCGCCTAATTGAACGAAACGTAAACTTCATTATGCTCAAAATTATCTTTTAAGTACGGATTCCGTTTCTTCACATTGGCTTCTTTAGATGCGGGTGGTTTTGGCGGAAAAATGAAACGGGATAAATTGATGCTGACAACTTGTCAGAAGGACTTCCTTGAAGAATCATGTCATTTTTTAAAATACCCCTAAACACATACATCTTAGCCTGGCGGTGCCTGTAATAAAATAGTGAATGTTCTCTTCCTCAACGCTCTTAAACTTCTGAACCTCGGGTAGCATTTAGCGGGGCTAGAACGTGCTCTCCGGATTACAAAACGAAAGGGACAGCAGAACACAGGGGTAAATTATGGAGACAGTGATTTCATTTGGGGACTTTTCCGGAAATTGAATTCCAGTAGGAACTTAGAGGGTCATCTCAGATACTTCCTCAACACTACTCTGACCTAGTGCTATTTTTATTGTTTCTATTTTTTCGAATTCAATATTAATAGTGAATATAGTACATATTTTTCTTGATCAGCATTAATTTATTTGGTTTAGTACCCTCTGAAGAAACCATCTTCTAAAATGTACAATATTTAATTAACAAGTAGGTTGATAAAGAACATCATTCATGCTGAATATGAGTAGGTTCATGAACATGTACAAGATAAGAATCATCTATCTCTTAAGTAATTATCATTGATTAGGATCTGGTAGATAACCTAAGGCTTCACGATCCAGGACTAAACGTTTCTTAAACTCATTCATTCCATGCGCCATCATCTTGTTTAATGAAGACAACCAGCATGAATAGAGAGCAGATTAGAATAACCTTCTACATCTATTGATGCATTCATGCTGCTCTTTTATTAACTAACCCTTCAGCAACTGCATGTCAATTTGAATTTTCCGAAAGAACAAATAAAATGAACTTTGAACTATAAAATATATCAAATGTGCTTTATATTAACCATGTATCATTTATTACAATCTAAAAGTATTAATTTTTACTTATATATTTAAATATTCTTTTTTTACTCATAAATAAAGAGGAAGCCACCCCCCCCCCCCACTCCTCGCCAAAATTATAAAAATAATGAAGAGAAAGAGAATTGCTTTTAAATTAAAAAAATTTCTGGCCAAAAACTTAGTGTTAAATGATTTGTGTGCTGGGAGACATAATGTCAGTCCAATTAATAATGAAATACACATGTTAAGTGAGTGTGTGTGCAAGAAAATGTTAAAAGACGAATGTGTTGATAGAAAAGTGTTATAAAAATAGTGTTAAGAAAAATTAGTGTAAACAAACAAGGTTTTCAAAGTGTTGAAAGATATAGTTAGGAAAAGAGTTAATGTTCTGGTTTGTGTTCAGACACAAGGTGTTGGGGAGATGGTGATGAAAAACAAGTGGTAGATGAGGCATAAAATAGGAGTGTTGAAAGATGATGTGTTGAGGTATTTGACAGTGATATAGCGTTGTGATAACTGTCGATAGACAAGGTGGGAAGATAGAGTGTTGAGTGACACTAAAGTAGGAAGATTGTTACAAATTGTAGTGTTGAATATTTGTTTCCCTTTCTCGGGTGGTTAAAATACAGATTTAAATGGTTGGAGATACATATAGTGTGATGAGCATCACTACAAGCCAAATGGTATCATCGGTATGGGACAGAAATTTATGTAAAGGACAAATGGTATAGTTGATATTGATCTGCAGACATAAATGATAAGGGTGACAAAAAGTATTGTAGATACGGGTCCAGAGACATATGTGAATGGGATGACAAAAAGTATTACTAATTTTGATTGATAACAACAATAATATTTCTTGCAGTTTTACAAAGTATAAAACAGAAACATGCAGATATATTGTTAAAGTGAATGTATAAACAAAGAAAATAAATGGGGAATTTCACATGGTATTGTTAATATAGGGTTAGGATAAATACAACTGGAGAGGGGGATGAATGGGGGGGGGGAGCAGTAGAAAAGAATAAACAAAAAGTATTCTGTATAAGGCTGGGGACATGTATGACTGGGAGGGCATATGTCTAGACTGATAATATCTAGTTGAGACAGTAAGACAAAGATAGAAGACCTGCATTGAGAAGTCAACCACACTCTATTATAATCAGATAAAGTGGGTCAGATGAGTATTAATATTGATAGAGACAAAGTAATGTCGCACTACTGTACCTTGTAGGGAGAAACATCTGTTGAAGATGGGAATGCTAGCAGCCCCATCACCTTCTGTACCTCCAATAATTGATCACCCTCAAGGCTAGTGAAGTACTTCCGTGCCTGTTTGACAGCCTCTAGTCGCTTGTTACTCCTAATCAACTCAATAAACTGCTGGGTGCGGAGATTAAATTCTAATGAACTCTGGGAAAGGAAACAGGGAGAAGGAATTTAAAAAAAAAATGACTGATTAGAAAGCGTCAAGAAATCAGAAGTTATTAAGTCATTAAAAATGATTAGCAACTGGGGCTGTGAATGACACCTGTGCATGAGTTTCAATATGTACGTATGTATTCTACGTTCACTTCGGTGCATCATATGTGTATGTAATGTATGTTGAGTGTCAATAATTTGAAATAACGTTATGTTACTCATGCATTAAGCTACAGGTTTCAAGTGCCAAAACAGATAGTAAGGTAAAAATGTAAATGTAAATCATTATTTTCAGAGTATTTTGATGGTATATTCTTTAATAGTAATAAAAGGTTGCCCCTATACACTTTGCATTTCAACAACAAAAAAGAAACATAACCATGAAATATCCTAATACTACAAAAAGAACAATAATGAAAAACAGCATAAATGGCAGAAGAATCATTGTCACTGCTCCGTTCTCCAGCACTTTTAAACCCCTTAAGTTAAGGGCTCGCTGAAACAGTATGAACACCCATGTAAAGCAAGAAAAAAAAAATGTTCTCATTCTAATTTTCCATTTTTCTAATTTTTGAAAGTATACACATTTTTTATTTACAGTTTATATGGGTAGCAGTGGCGGATCGAAAAATTGAAAATAAAGGGCGCCCTCAGAGGGATTTTCACAGATATAAGGTATACACCACCCAGTCCCACCATGGTTGGGGCTGAGTTAAGAAATTTTATGATTACAGCACCTCTAGATGGCTGGAAATGGCACTCTCAGTCATAAATTTAAATATAATTTACCTTTTTTCTCAATTTTTAAAAATGGTTACATATTTAGGGAGGAGGCACCGCCCCCCTCCCCAAAAAAAAATCCACCACTCGGTGGTCATACATATTTATATATAAAATAAAAAATAATGAAGTTTGTTGGATGGATTAAACTTTTAATATGTAGCATGACAAAGAAGTATTATTATTAGCTAACCTGCAAAAAATTATTTAAAAAATTATTCTGCAGCATTTTTACAGTCTACAGAGACCTTTCTTTCAATCACATCAAAAATCCAAGTGGGATAGAAAATAATTGAAGAAAGGATTCGATGGAAAAGCAGATAAATTTAGGAAAGAGGAAGACGACTAATAAAGAAGTTCAAAGTATCCTGCCAGAATGACTACGCTGATTATTTTCAGCTCAATTTTATATTCGTAACCTATAACTATAATGAAACACTAAGATGTAGATCTTTGTTAATGTTCACTTTTATTAATACTTCAGAAGATGGTGCTATTCTTATAAACAACAGCTAATGTAGAGTTCTTATGACGATTCCCTTTAAACGTCGATGGTAAAAAAAGTATAATTTTTCTCTTTTCGGTTGGTTCAATAAACCGACAGAAGGACTCGTGGGAGGAAACTGGGTGTTCACAGATAAATAAAATGCAGGGGAAAATCAACATGCTTCCTGCATGGGGGCTTATTTGCAAAAAAACAGGAATAATTTTCTCGGCAAAGGAGAAACCATTTGGAGAGGCAAGATGGCGTCTGCGGCCTTGATTTTCGATTTCACAGACATGAGACAGGCGTGCGTACCTGTTCTTCGTCAAAGAAGATCCATTTATCTTTGAGTCAGAAAGCGCGATAGTTTGTAGATTATGTAATTGGAATTGGCAAATGCGTATGTAGAACATAGTCTTAAACTAAACGTTGCTACGATAAAATTTGTTTTTACACGAAAAGCTTCAAAAATGGTTTCTTATCAAAAAAGTTTGAGGATTTTCTGTTCATCAAAGTTAAATGATGTTAAATTAAATTATGACAGCTGGAAATGTAAGAGAAAATTGTGTTCTAAAGTTTATACTTCAAACAGATAGCATAAAAAATTAATGTTAAGGCTATTTTCAACATAAAAAACAGGGAAAGCTTATTATCTTCATCCTCTTATATTTAATTTGTTGTTATTTTCTTGTCTTCTTTACAAACATAATATTATATCTGAATTTCTGAATCTCATAGGACTGAATTAGATGTAAGTGATGAGAAATACTACAAGTATAGGCCAAGATAGTTGACTATGTATACAGGGGCGGATTCAGAGATATCTGAAAGGGGGAGGGCCGAAAGTCGGGCCGATCGAGACAACACTACCCTAGTGGGTCCAGGGCATGCCCCACAAAATTTTTGTTTTCTAGACGCCTGACAATAACCTCTGAGGCGTTTTGGGCCATCAATTATTTCTTTTTTCTTTCTTTCTTTTTTTTTACTTTCCAAAAGGGGCGAGAAGGCCCAGGGCCAGCCCGTAGCCCCACGTATGCCGCTGGTATATGGGTGAAGGTCACGGGGAGGTCAAATATCTCAGAAATGGGGACGGTTTTTCAGTACTGTCGTAAGCAAGCAAGAATCTCCCGGAAAATAACCAACCTCCTGCAAATTCATGATATTTGCATGTATTTTATTACCAATTGTCTAGTGGAAGTCAGAGCTGATAGGTATTGCCATGCACTGCAAAATAAAATTAAATGTGTTAAGGAGCAAATTTAACTAGATCTCATGGAAGGGACTTTTCCCAACTTGGGACACCTGCAGCCATCTTGTAATGAAAAAAAAAACGCCAAATAGCTCCCTCATCCTCCTTATTTAAAATTTCCTGTCGGAAAAAAACATTTTTTGGCCTCGTAAGATCTTCATGTTGTTCTTCAATACTGGGCAGTCAAACACTATGTTGTTGTTGATGTCTGCATTCAACTTACTTTAATCTTTTTAAGTTTAGACTTGTTGTCATGACACCAATTAAGACAGGGTGCTGTTTCTCGCTTTAATAACGATTCTTCAACATCTCTTGATTCCATGAACAGTTTCATATTAGTCAGATCCTGCAATGAGTCAAAGAGATTTTAAAGTTATAGTATTGTATTATTAAATATGAGGAATGATAAAAAAAATAAATTTTAATAACTGAAATTAACGATAGTAATGATGACAAAATTATAAAAATAATGTTAATAACAATAGTTATAATCATCTTACCATGAGATTATTATAAGAACTATTGTTATCAACATTCTCTTATCATTTTGTAGATAACAATAGTTATAACAACCATTTCATTTCATTTATTTTATTTGACATCAAACAGTCCAGAGGTTAAAAAAATGAAACCCTGTTTTACATGTTCGTTAATCCTATTTAAAATTTCATTTTACTTTATGGTACAAATATTTTGAATACGTTCTTGAAATGAAGGTCAGGGATATGGATATTGAAGATTGTAAACATCTTGAGGTGCATTAGTTATAAAGGCGTATTGTACATGCTATAAT